CAGATCGGTACATCCTTCAGCTCTCCAATCAACCCGCCAATCTCGGCCCGCTTCCGGCGGTCAAGGCGCAAAACGCCTTTCGCGCGGGGCAAACCGTCGTTCCGGCAGCGTTAAGCACGCAAGTCGGGAACCTTGCTGGTATGGCCCTGCCTCGCAAACCGCCTGCTGGCTCGTCCTCGCCCAACAACCCAGCTCTCACGAATATTCTCAAGTCTGCTGCGAAGAACATGGTGAACGGGGTCGCCCGAGGGAACGTGACTGATCTCGTTAGCGGGGTGGTGCAGGCGGGGGAAGACGGGTTCGCCTACGCGCAGGGGTTTTCGCAGGGAAGTTTTTACGGCTCTTTCGCCACCTTTTACGGCGAAAGGGACGGTTCGGGAACCATGGGCGGCGCGTGCGGGTACGGCAACATGTTCCAAACGGGGTACGGTCTAATGACGGCCGCCGCGTCGTACGCTCTCTTCGACAACGGCAAGGCGTGCGGCGCGTGCTTCGAAGTCAAGTGCATCCGCTCGCCGGCCGTCCCTGACAAGAAAGTGTGCTCTGGAAAAACGGTAACGGTTACCATCACGAACAGCTGCCCGCCCGGCGGTAACGGAGTCTGCAACCCGCCGAAGCATCACCTGGATATGTCGGAAGCTGCGTGGGGTGTGCTGTCCGGCGTGCGCGGCGCGGGGATTCTGGAAACGCAGATGCGGCGCGTGCCGTGCAAGAAGAACGGCGGCGTCGCGTTTATGCTCACGGGCAACCCGTACTATCTGCAAGTGCTCGTCTTTAACGTTGCCGGCCCGGGAAATATCAATAAGCTGGAGGTCAGCGACGGCAGCACGTGGGACGTTATGGATCACAATTGGGGCGCTTCGTACTCCAAGAGCAAAAAGTACGGCGGCAAGGAGCTGTCATTCCGGTTGACGGCCGTCAGCGGCGACGTCCTGACCGTCAACCGCGCCGTTCCGTCGAACTGGTATATCGGCGCGGCGTATATGTCGAGGGTGAACTTCGGCGGCGGCGGCGGAGGAGGAGGAGGTGGTGGTTCCGACAAAAATTCTAACGGAAGCCCAAAGAAGAAGCATCCCGGCAAACCCAAGAAGAAATCCCCACCGCCCAGCGATAACAACCAGTCAAACTACCCATCTCCGCCCAAGAAGAAGAAAAAGTCTCCACCTCCCAGCGGTAACCAGTCCACGTACAAATCTCCGCCCAAGAAGAGCAAAACGCAGAGCAAGAAGAAGGGGAAGAAGCACAAGAAGAATAAGAAGCAGAGAGACAGCGGCAGCAGCAGCAGCAACAACAACAACAACGGCCGCAAAACGCTCGAGATATGGGGCCCACTTGAAGAGATCCAGCTGTCGGATTGGGAACGCGACGCGCTTATGGGAAAGGTAATGGAGGTTAATGTGACAGCCGGGTCCTTCGGACAGCACTAACCAATAATCACTAGACTTGGTGGGTGTTCGTTTCATTTTCAGGGCAGTCGGGGGAGTTTTGGTAAAAAACGGTACAGGGGAGGTGCGGGGAGGGGAACGTAGTTTTGGGGGATGGTGCTTCGTTTGTAGCGGGTTCATCAGTGGCGATAACGACTTCCAGCTGACAGGAGAACGCTCAACGAGGATATCGGGCGACGAAGAGTAGGGTATGCTCGGGTTTTCCATTTGGTTACGAGTACGAGATTCTGTTTCCAATTCGTAGTTGCATCGTAGATTTCAAGGGTGCGACACTGCAAGTGTAGCATCGAGTGTAGAAATTATTTATGTCAATGTGAAGGGCTCCTGTTGCCCTGGTTCTTGGGAAAGTAGTGTTTCTTGAGTGGAATGGGGAACTGGATGATGAAGCTCCTGCTCCTGCTCTGGGGAGGGCTAGGGTGACAAAGTGATTGCCTGTAGAAGTACTCTACTGATTGTATGTTTCCGTATATTTGTGTAGTGAACCCAGTTTGGAATATCGTGAGCTTCCTTTTGAACCTGGCTTGCTTTGAAACTTAGGACATGATTGCATAATTGTCCCACAATTGATTTCTTGGTCATTTGTGTTGCTAGGATGGGTGAGTATTGCCTCAAGTGTTTGGTGTATTTGTGTAATGAACCCAGATTGGAATATCATTCTTTTCCGGGCCTGGCTTAGGGTATCTTAGGGCATGGCCAAGCACGTTGAGTCCATCACTGTCCTTTGTAGGGCTGGATATGTGGGCTGGGATGGGTTTAGTGTTGCCTAAGTCACCCTCATGTTTTAGGCAGACTCGAAAAGTACTTTTCAGAACTAGAAATTCCTTAGTAGATCGAAGCTGGACTAAGATTAGGCTGAATGGTTCAAAAAGCATTTAAAAAAACAGGGCTTCTGGGAATTGGCCTTTTTGTAGCACACGGCTATAGCTTTTTCTTGTGTGCCATGTTTTGCTACAAAAATCAAGCAGCAGTCATATTTCGTAACGAACCGGGGTCATTTTGCGTGTTTCAGAGTTCCAGCTGTTGCCAGCGAAGCGAGCACTTTCCGTTACCAAGCCGGACTTCCCGCTCATTGCCTCGTCGTGGCAAATTTGAACCTGCCCGTGTTTCCTAGCCATGGCCCCTGCGTGTGGGTTTATTCGCGAGAGTGCAGCTGTTCCTTCCACTCCGTCCTGCCCCTTCTGTGCTCATTATTGAAAGGTTCTCTGGACTCCAGCCCAGTCAATGCACGTAAAGCTCGCGGCTCGGTTTAAACAGCTGTCAACGGCGCTGAATCGAGCCGCACGCGCCTCGTTGCCTGAGGGTAGGATACGAAGGAAACGAGGGGCAAACAAATGCTTCCACACAACAAATTATGCTGCACGACATTCGTCTAGGAGAAAGCTGGGCTAGATCCCTCAACATCAACATCAAGAACAACATCAACATCATGACTTGTGCCGGCTGCGATCGCATTCGACGGAATAGATAGATTAGGAATAGATAGATGCACTCACGTCACATGAGTCACACATACACAGGCACTAACCACACTCGCGCAAGCTGTTTGACGAGCCCCATCGAACCGGAACGAACCCCGACCATGTTCCCCTCCTGCTCTCTCGCCTTATGAAACAGTGCAGCACGGGGATCAATTAGGACCGTCCATGTACCCAGTCGCCTCCACGTGCAGGGTTCCCGCCCGCCGTCAGTACACATCTCAAGTACGTTTTGGTTATAGTCGACACAATCAAAACACTTCTTCTATAACATCAGCGCACCCATATCGTCTCCTCGTGCGGGCATTCCCGATCCCGGCCGTCATTTCACTGCTCCCCCCTCAAGCCATATGCGACCCGTCGATCCGCGCTTCGGTTTCATGATAGTTTACCTACCTAGCCCTCTTCCTCGCGGCCACCAGCCAACACCTTGAGCCATTCGGGTTTCGAAGAGTCTAACCAGCGCATCGTTACGTGCTCTATTCCCTCTACATCAATGATTACCGTGTAGATGAAACCTTCTCCACTGCTCGCCGGGGGCGCATTCAACTCCCGTCGTTCCCTTCCGCCCATCGCATCGCATTTGCATAGGACATCCATCCATAATCAACGAGGGCACTTCAAGTGGCGCGGGCCGTGCGGCTCATTGTCGGCCACTTGGACCCACTTTTGAGGTTCATCTCACCTGTCGTAACAGTGCGCCGCGAGGGAATACAAACAAGCCCCATCTGTAGGGCAGATAGCGGCGTCACATCATTCAGCGAGTGTAGGGTAGGTAGGAGTATTAAACTGTCTTCATTCTGTCGCTGCTGACCGTCTGAAGCCGCAAACTGGCGAGTCGTGTCTCGGGCCTGTGGGCGGTCTTTAGATGACGGGAGGTAATGGCTGCTGAGCATGCGGCCAATCTCGCCCGCGCAAGTCTATCTCGTCGTTTCGGTAACAGTGCCAAGGTGTTAAAAGGTGCCTACCGACGCCGTAGCAGTATTTTTTTCTTACAAGGGGGAGGACGACAAGGTGCCCTGTGCTCCCACGTTTTACCTTCACATATCGCTTCTTGCCATCATCCGCGTCGCTCAAGTCTTGGTCTTCATTCCGTTGGACCACTCCGGACTAGCGTTAGTGGCGAGGCGACGAGTTCGCGACCACGCTCTGTGGTCCCAAGGGTGCTTTTTTATCTTGGCGGGGTTGGCCTGAGAGCTATCGCACGGTTTAGCAGTGCGGAGTGGTACCCTTAGAACCGTTGAGATCTTTCAATATTCGAGTATTCTTGGAATTGGTTGAGAAGTTAGTTACCGTGACTGTCACCGAGTACCGTTTGCACAGGTGTGAAGTCAACTACCCTGAGTACCCGTAGGATCCTTGGGTGCAGTTGAGACCCTTAAAAAACTTGGGTACGCTCTAGCCCACGTTTAATCGCCATCCTCACCAGACTTAGTGGTTTAACCCCTGCCCTACATTTTATAGTGGTAGTAGCCACCGTTTCAGTTACTCGTTTCGAACGCATATTTCGCCAGTGCGCATGGCTCCTCAAAGGCTGATGGCTCAAAGGCTTTCCTTGCTCTCGATAATAAGCGCCTCGTTCTTAGTCGTGGTGTCCCGTGCCCATGTACAAGACAGGCCGTACGATAAAATTCCCGTTATAACGCCGGAGCAACTCGATCGCGAAATTTCCCCTGAGGAGCGATTACAGATCGAAGTGACCACCCGCGCCGCCATCAACGCCGCGCGTCTCGGGAGTCTCCGCGACTCCGGCGGCGGTGTAATCGCGAACCGACACGTGTCGTACAAGGAGAGGTGGTTGACGCAGCTCCAGACAATCGAATCGTCCCTCACCACAGCCTTACAACGGACCAGGAAAAAGACAAACTGCAGCCAGATTTTAGCAAAATCCATTTTTCAGGTGCACAAAGCTCGGCCGTTGATCGCGGAAGGCGAACTCAATCGTGCGGCTCGGAAGCTCAAATACACGACCGAGGGGCTAGGCGCGTGTCTGAAGACACCCAGTATCGATGCGACAAGCAGCAGCGCTAGGCAGCTGACCCGAAACGCCATGCAATGGGCGACAGAAATCGTCCTGCAAATGCGCAATCGGGCCGACGGCGGGAATGGCGGCGGCGGAGGCGGAGGCGGTCAGGGGCGCAAGCCCACGAGCGAGTCGCCCGGGAATGAAAGCGGGCCGCCAGGGAAGTCGACGGGACTCCTGGGCTCGCCGGTTCAACCGCTCGCGATTGATTATTGCGAAACGTTTGCGAAGGTGGCTGGTAACGCTGCGACGATCGTTGTGGATACCACCACTGGCTGCCGTGAGTAACCTTACTCTTTAGGCTCTAATATCTCGCTTGAACATGTCAAGGATAAGTCGCGGGTTCAAACCTCGTTAGGCTCCTTACTTCCAAGCTCTAACCTCGCTTTCTCTGTTTTCTTCTATGTGAATTGTTTCGTCATCTGTCCCCCTGACGTTGCAGGTGGCAGTCGAGTGAGATCGACGGTTCAATACCCGTCTGGCATCTTCAGCGCGCAGATAAAATGCCCCGCTGGCGACATGAACGGACTCGTGCAGTCCTTTTATGTAAGGGTTCATGAAAGACATGAGCGACATGAGCGACATGACATGAAATACATGAGTGACGTGAGCGAGATGTAGGATATGAACGATATAAGCGACAGGAGTGACGTCGACAACATGAACGACAATAAGCGTCATGAACCACATCAACAAAATTCAATGGTATAAGCACCCACTAATCTCCCACCCTTCCCCTTCTTCCACTCACCCTTCCCGCCGCACTTTCTCCCCGCCAATCATTCTGCCCATGGTACCCATCTTCTGAGGCTCACGCACCATGTTTTGCCTGGTTTTTGTGGTTCTTCCCTGAACCCAGCTTGCACTGTAACGTTTCCCCCTCATCAGTATGCAAAATAGGACATAAAGCCTGAAAGCACACAACAATGGCACTCAAAACCCCATTCCTCATTCTGTCGACCCCTTCCCTTCTTTTCCCCCAACCCTCTTCCTCCCACTCTCCAGCTGTCCTCGTTAGAAGGCAGCAAAGGTCAAGACGAGATAGATTTCGAATTTCTGGGCCGCGATAAAATGAGCGTGCAGACGAACTACTACGTGAATGGCGTGGGGGGTCATGAGGCGCTCATTCCGCTCGGTTTTGACTGCTCCTCGGGATTCCACGAATACGTCATTTACTGGAACGACCGGCAACTAGTGTGAGTGAAGAATGGATGCGTTATTTCTGTAAAGACATTTCTTCACCTACTCGTATCGTACAAGCTCTGTTGTAAAACAGAATTGTAAGAATGATGTTTCTTCGTATTTCCTTTGTTCTTCTGAGTTCTATCCATTCATCCCATTCATCTAATGCTACTCACCACTGTGGAATTCACGTCCTACTTATCTGCCCCTCTAATACAGAACCACCTGATTTGCCCTTCCTCCCAAATTCCCCCTCTCCTATCTCGTCTCCCTTATAGATGGCAAATTGATGGGCAAGTCAAGCGGGTGGTTCAGAGGAGCAAGTTGAACGGTGGGCCTTACCCCACCAAGCCCGCATTCCTCTACTCCTCAGTGTGGGATGCTTCGAGCGTGCTCGGTGGGATGTGGGCCGGCACTTTCAACGGCAGAGACGTGCCTTATAACTCGTAAGTGGTGCATATGAGAACAAAAAATTCAAGTATTGTTTGTCTACATTTCCCTGTCCCCTTCACACAAGGACACAGTTGTTCACCCACTCACTAACCCATATTTAGCCACTTCCTCCCCATATCTTGAAACTTCAACACTCCAACAGGCAATACAAGAACTTCCTCGTAACATCTCCCGCTCCGTAACACCAGTATCGGAGCAGCAGCTGCAACCATGTAACACTTTGATGTGTAACACCGCCGACCATGGAGCTCTAGCCACTACACAAGTAACCACCATGGATGCTGACAGTTCTGCAACAAAGAGGCAAGCTAATTTTTTCAATAGTCATATCCTCTGAGAGGACACCACCAGTAGCAGCTAACCTTTAGCTAAGTACCCTAACAAGACGCTGACTTTTACTTTTGCCGCCCCCCGAAATAAGCCTTCAATCGTTCCCTGTTGAGGGCCGGTGGCGATGTAACGTTGATGCAGCATGCGCCGTTTTCGTTTCCAGAGAGGAGCTGCTGCAGTGGCGGGTTGGGAAGCCATTAGGCTCCTCCTACGGCACATAGAATCTTGACCAGGGCCTCAGTTATCAGGATAATTTATCCTGATTCTCCTGAATTCAGGATAGGTGTCGTGTGCTAGTCCTGGAAAAACAGCATAACAGGAATAATTGTCCTGCAATTTCAGTATAACGGTTATTTTGCGTACTGAAAACTCAGGATAAGGCTGTAGGTTCAGCTCTGATGAGTCAGGATAGTGTCGAATCTCGCTCTGAGGCGAGATGTACTGTAAGAAAAATCTCCTGGGTCTTGGGGCCTAAAACATGAACGGGCGAGCACCTCCACATGAGAGCCAGCGGGAATCGAGCAGGAGACCTTTAACGTATCGCATTGTCACTTAACCCGCTACGACACTTCACCTATCGCTAGCACAAAAAATATATAGATAGTACTAAATGTAGCACTGGCATTTCAGGATACCTCACCCTGTGCAGCCCTGCCAATTCAGGGCAAATTCTGATTTCCTAAAAACTGCCCTGAGGCCTCAGTGTACCCCCAAACGAATCTGAGGCCCTGATCTTGACCTTGACTCAGTTGCGGCTGGCTTGTGTATTTTGCTGTGTAGGATGGGCATATGAGTGCTTGTTCTTCCTGTTGTTAATACTGTAAGAGTAGCTGAATAGAACAATACCTTATTGATTACATGTTCGACAAGGGAGCATTTGCCATGTGTTATATGATGTGGAATATTATTAGCTGTGCACTGCATCTGAGTCTCTTCTAAATACGATAGCACGATATAAAAACAAGGACATACCGTAAATTTTGAAGCAAGTTCTGGTATTTAAAAATACACTGCCATGCCTACATTCTTGACACTGTAGCCACACTTTTTGTAAAAGTCTACATTCTTCTCATCACAATCTAAAATGACCTGAAAAGAATTAGACAAAAAAGGGGGGGGGGGGGGGGGGGGGGGAGGGGGGGGGGGAAGAGGGAGGGGGGGAGGGGAGGGGGGGGAGGGGGGGGAGGGGTAAGGGGGAGAGAGCAGCATGTGTAAACACTCACGCGGGCTGAAAAAAAAAATCAAACAAACAAAAAAGGGGGAATGAACGGGGATGGCGACCTTATAGGTTACCTTATAGCAACCTTGTTTCTTGGCGATATCGGTGAGCGTTTGGATGATTCTGGTGGGCGGAAATAATGGAAGGGCAAGGACGGAAGGAGGCTCCATACAAGGTGTAAGGGGAGGGTGGGAGACGAAGGCAATCTGAACTCCTCATATGAAATGGATGGTGTGGTGCATAGACGAGGGAAATCTGAACAGTGCTGCGTGCGTGTGTGAATGTAGTAGTGTGAGGTTTGTAGTGTTGGGTGTGGGTGTACTACTGATTGTCCTTTAGCCTACACAGAGGTGCGATGGGAGGGCGGGAGCAACTTCTAGTATTAAGTGAATGGTGTGGTGCAGAGACGGCGGAAGTGTAGTATTTCAAGACTGCATGTGCGGATGCAGTGTTGGGGGTGGGTGTGCTACAGGTGGGTCAATCCGGATGCTACAGATTGACCCTCAGCCTACTCGGAGGTGCAATGGTTGGGAGGGTGGGAGCAACTTTTTTGTAAGAAGTGGATGGTGTGAGAGACTATGCGGACACAGCAAAACTGTTTTTGAGGCACCAAAAAAATCGGAGGTGCGAGGGGCGCAGTGTTTTGAGACGTCTCAAAACACTCTGTGTAAGAAGTGGATGGTGTGAGAGACTATGCGGTCAAAGCAAACCCCCGAGGGGTTTACGGGTGATTCCCCCTCGTACACCCCCCCACCTGTGCCCCAGGTGCTTCCCCCGCATGCTGCTGTGCACCACTATGTCTTCTATGTGCCCCACCTGAGGGGGGAAGGAGGGGGGAAGGAGGGGGGAAGGGGAGGGGGGATGGAGAGGGAGAGATTGGAATCAGGGGTAAGCAAAAATTTGCCGCAGGTGCTTTCCCCGCATAACATGCTGCTGTGCACCACTATGTCTTCCATGTGGCCCACCTGAGTGGGGAACCGGGGAGAATGGGGGGAAAGGAGAGAGAAGGAAAGAGTAGATCATACAACACCCCCGCATGCTGCTGTGCACCACTATGTCTTCCATGTGGCCCACCTGAGGGGGGAGGGAGGATGGGGGGAGGGGGATGGAATGAGAGAGAATGCAACCAGGGGGAAAGCGAGCTTTTCCCCCCAGGTGCTTCCCCCGCATGCTGCTGTGCACCACTATGTCTTCTATGTGCCCCACCTGAGGGGGGAGGGGAGGGGGAATTGGGGAGAGAGAGAATGAGAGAATGCAATCCGGGGGGGAAAAGGAGGGGGCTTCCCCCGCATAACATGCTGCTGTGCACCACTATGTCTTCCATGTGGCCCACCTGAGGGGGGAAGAAGGGGGGGGATGGAGAGAGAGAGAATGGAACCAGGGGGGAAGCGAGCATTTGCCTCCCAGGTGCTTCCCCCGCATAACATGCTGCTGTGCACCACTATGTGTATGTCCTCTATGTGACCCACCTGAGGGGGGAGTGGGGATGGGGGAGGGATGGGGGCGGGGGAGGAAGGTTTGCCATGCGTGGGTGGATGCACGCTGCTGTGCACCACTATGGAAATGGGAGCGTTTTTTTGAACGTCTCAAACACACTTTCATTTCACGTGGCGGTTTGCCATGCGTGGGCGGATTGCATGCTGCTGTGCACTGCTATGGCCGTTACGTGCCCCACATGTGGGAGGAAAGGGGGGTTGGATGGGGGGGCGAAGCGAGAGGGATGAAGAAAGGAACGAAGGGTCGTGAGCTCTATTAGCAGAGTGCCTGTGCCCGCCACTCTGCTGCTTAGTTGCGGAAGACGCGCCTAGCGTCTTAGACGCGCCCGCCTAGACGCAGCGTCTAAGACGCTAGACGTTAGATGAGTCAGATTAGACGCAGTATTAGACGAAAGCCCGGGCAGGCTTAAAAAAGGTTCGGGCAGACCAAAAAAAAATCTATGGGCATGGGGAGGGTGGGGACATTCATGTATGTCACAATGGGGTCAATTTTTCCCCATACCATAACTTTTTTCCCCATTCTTAGATTTCTGCAGGAGGAGGGGATCGAAGGAACTAGCTAAACCCTAAGGGTTTTTGAAAGAGATTTGGAAGAAATGAATGATGGGGAGCACAAATGAGGGATTTGCGCTCCCCAACCTCTTGGTGGTTAGCCATAGAGGTTGGGTTTTCTAGATACCAGGCGGTGAAGTGTGGTTTGTATTCAATTTTGGTTGGGGGGCATTCAAAATTGCTTGGGGGGCTGGTTTATATGGGCTGCGTTCTGCAGGCGCATCAGCTCTGATGCGTCTGAGGCTCGGCCTGATCCGCACATTGAGAAATTGAGGTTCGGAAATTGCGAATTAGAAATTGAGAAATTGAGGTTCAGACATTTGAAATTGAGGTTTGGAAAATCTGACGAAATTGAATTGAGGTCAGGAAATTGGACATTCAATCTCTTGACAGATTAAAAAATTGCGAATGTTACAGGTTTCTTGGAAGCTTCTTCGTGGCTGAATTTCGGTTTGGCCAAACTGATTGGCCAATGAGGTTGCAGCGCATCAGCTGATGCGCGCATGGTCCGAGTTGTCGAAGTCGCATGATGCGCGCATCAATGCGCCAGCTTGCTAGGAGAGGAAGCTTCTTGGAAAGCGGACACATTACAAATTTCGTAAGCCAAAAAGGCCGTTTTGCAGGCATTCGGGTTTGTTTTGCTTCGGCAGCCATGCGCTTATCGTGAACCTTGATAACCTGTCGGCAGGTTATCGTGGAAAATTCCTGGAGCCATGGTAGAACGCATCAATGTACATTGATGCGGGCTGATGCGCCTGCAGAACGCAGCCATGGTCAAAATGGGTGGGAAGGGGTTCTAATGGCGCGAAATTGAATTTCACGTCCAAATGGCGAATTTCAATTTCGCCCGCGCGGATTTTTTTTCGGGCTGCCCGAACAATTTTAGCCCAAGCGTCTAGCGTCTAAGGGCGTGTAAAATCCCCGCACACATGCAAAATTTGCTTTTGGCCGGATTTTCGTCGACCATCCGGTCGACATTTCTTTCGCGAAAGTCGCCGGATTGGTCGACTTCGTGTCGTCAATTTTACAGCCACTATTTGCAGATTTGCAGAATTTACAGGTTTGATGGCCAAATTGCAAAAAGTTGTAAAATTTGCAGTTGCTACAGTAGTTGCGAATGGACGACGGAGTCGCACGTTTGGCGGCAAAAATTCTGATTTGACGATATCACAAATTTTGGGGTTATGCGATACTGTGCGACGTCGTACGTGACTGTCGCTCACGGTGTCGACTACTTGGCCGAATTGGAGTCGACATGGTGTCGGATACGTGTCGACTATTCAACCAGTCATCAAATTTCACATTTTTTCACCGAAATAGACGAACCTCGCAATTGTTTCAGCGAACGTCGTCGACCGGTTACTTTCGCCAACAACGGCCCGACGGATTTTCCAAAAATT